TATACATAGAAAAATTGCATTCATCTGGGGAACATAAAGTAACAAAATAAGAGACTAACACCCAAGAGTGGCCGAGATTAGTACCAGGAATTTTACTCCATGGCTTGGAGGCCAGCCGCACATGCTGGGGGGAAAGACAGCTCAAATAAAGATGGGAGCACCAAATAAAGTGTGTTGGGAGGATCCTCCCAGGATGGAAGATGCATGCTGAAAGTAGAGTATAGACCGAACATGATTGCCACTCAATGTCTTTTTTGCAAACCACAACACCCAATAAGAGAGAACAAAAGGGAATGCCCTGCCACAGAGGCAGGGTAAAATGGGGGGGATGGGGGGTGGGAGGGATACTGGGATCCATGGTGGTGGGAAATGGGCACTGGTGGAGGGATGGGTATTTGAGCATTGTATAATTGAAACCCAAGCACAAAAATTTGTAAGTCTACAACTGTACCTCATGATGTCTCACTAATAAAAATTTTAAAAAAATAAAATGAAAAACTAAGGAAATTTATGTTGAGATACATCTTTGAACACCAAAAAGTAAAATTATTGAAAACAAAGAGAAACTATGCCTTACTTATATGAAAAAATGATATGAATAATAGCTAATTGGGAGCCATGGAGCCCAGATGGACATTTAACATTTTAGCAAATACAGAAATGAGTAACCAAAAAAACAAGAAAACCAAGGGGCTATAGAGATAGTACAGTGGGTAAGTCTTGCACATAACCAACTCAGGTTTAATCCTTGTCACCATATATAGTTCCCTGAGCCCCACCAGGAGTAATTCCTGAGTACAGAGCCAGGAGTAGACCCTGATCGTAGTTAGTTTGACCCAAAATATAAAATATAACAAAAAAGAAAACAATATAAAGTATCAATGAAACTAGGAGTTGGTTCCTTGAAAGAATAAGCAAGATTGACAAACCTTCAGCTAGACTCACTAAAAAAAAAGAGAGAGAGAGAGAAACCCCAAATAAATAGTATTGGGGAAGAAATCACAAGTTATCTCAGAAATAAAAAAAAAACAGAAAAATTAAAAAGAAATACAAAAATCATAAGTTATTATGATCAACTTTATGCCACTGAACTCAAGAACCTAAAAGAACTGGATGAATTCTTACACTTATGCAAACTCCCAAGATTGAACCAGGAGGAAGCAGAAAACCTAATTATACCAATCTTGAGTAAAGAAATTGCAATGGTAATTTAAAATCTTGCTAAGAACTGGGGCCAGAAAGATAGTACAATGAGTAAGGTAGTACTAACTTACATGCGACTCACTTGGGCTCAATCCCGACCATACCATATAGCTTCTTAAATACTACCAAGAGTGATTCCTGAGTTCAGAGCTAGGAGTCACCTCTGAGCATTGCCAAGTGTTGCCCTAAAACAAAAACAAAAACAAAATATTGTACGAAGAACAAAACCCCAGTTGCAGATGGAATTACTTGTGAGTTCTACCAAAACTTCGAAGAACACAATGCCTATACTCCTCAAGCTCTTCTAGATATTTTGGAAACAGGAATCCTCCCTAATAGCTTCTTTGTAGCTAATATCAAACTGATACTTAAATAAGACATAAACACTATAAAAAAGGAAAATTATAGACCAACAGTCTTGATTAAAATTGAAGTGATCTTCAACAAAGTCCTAAAAAACTGAATCCAGCAATATATCACTGTATCACTGTATCACTGTCATCCAGTTGATCATTGAATTACTCAGCAAGTGCCAGTAACGTCTCTATTCCTCCCAGACCTGAGCTTTTAGCAGCCTCTTCTTACTCGTCTTTTCCCAAAGATTGGAGGCTCTTTCAGGGTTAGGGGAATGAGACCTGTTGTTGTTACTGTATTTGGCATATCGAGGTGTATTTGGCATACACCACAGAGAGCTTGCCAGGCTCTGCCCGTGCGGGTGAGATACTCTTGGTAGCTTGCTGGGCTCTCCAAGAGGCATATATTTATATATTTTTCTCTATGATTTGTTGCCTACTGTCTGAACCCCATCAGATATGGTATAGTAATTGTGGAAAATGGATAGGAATTATCTTATAATGTGTCTTCTTGGCCATACAGTCTGGAAAGTGGTCTGGAGCGTGGTGGTTAGGTTGTGGAAGTTGGCTGGGGCTGGGTTCCTTGGGGTGGCGAGGGCTCTCACCACAGCCTGGTGCAAAGTCCCAGAAATATATAAAAAGGATTATACACCATGGTCAAGTGGGGTTCATCCAGGGGTGCAAGGATGTTTCAGTATATGCAAATCAATGGACGTAATACACCATGTCAACAAAAGGAAAGATAAAAATCATGATTTTATCACTTGATGCAGAGAAGGGTCTTGAAAATATACAACATCCATTCATGATTTAAAAAAAACTACTTGAAGGACCAGAGTGATAGTAGAAATGGTAGGGCACTTGCCTTACATGTGATCCTCAGGATACTGTCAGGAGTGATTACTGAGTGCAGAACCAGGAATAATACCTGAGGATCATTGGGTGTAGCCCGTAACTCCACTCTCCTAAAATAAAGTTCAAAAATAGAGAAAGAAGGAACATATCTTAAGATAGTAATGGTCATCTACAACAAAGGCATAACCAATATTATACTCATTGGTAAAAAATTGAAAGGTTTACCCCCACCCCAAGATCAGATACAATACAAGGATATCCTGCCCCCCCCAAAATGTTCAAAAATGGAAAAAGAATGAATGTACCTTAAGATATTAATGGTCATCTACAACAAATTCATAGCCAATATCATACTCATTGGTGAAAAATTGAAAGCTTTACTCCCCCCCTCCAAGACAGATACAATGCAAGGATATCCACTATCACCAATCTTATTTAACATAGTTTTGGAAGTCCTTTGTTCAGCCATCAGACTCAAAAAATTTCAGACGAGGGTCGGAGAAATAGAACAGCAGTTAAGGGTGCTTTCCTTGCATGTGGTGTATCTAGATTTACTAAATCCAACACCACATATGGTCTGAGCCCTGCAGGCATGATAACTGAGAACAGCACCAGGACTAAGCCTTGAACATTGCCAAGTGTGGCCCCAAAACCAAAAATAAAGTTTACATGGGAGACTTAACTGGGTTTAATCTCATGTCATTCACTGGATCTCATCAGCACATTACTGTGTCAGTGCTGTGTCCCCAAGGCAGCTTTCAGTGCAGGGAAGGCAAGAAAAGCAATCATTCTGAGAACAGGGAAAGAGGTAAAAATCTTCTAATTGCTTGGTTTGAGCTCTTAGGATAACTGTTATGTAGGTTATCTCAGTGACCTCCTCTAACAACATTCTGAAAAAGAACAAACAGAGTGACAGACTATGTCCTAACAACGTTATATTAAGTATTCATGACTTGTCTATAGCAAAATACTGAAATTGACAGTCTGGATAAAAACATAACCAACTACAAGGTGTCACTTCAAATATAAATGATATAGGCTGATTTACAATAAAATGGTGGAGAAATATACCACAGTAAGCAGGAGTGACTATTTTAATACCACATAAAATAGACTTATGAGAGAAAAAAATTGCCAGAGACAGGGAGGGGCATTATATAATGGGAAAGGATCAACCGAATGACAGCAATCCTAATGCACCAAGTGACAAAGCCATAATATGTGTGATGCCACAGATGATGCAATTGAATGTGAAATAGAAAATTTTGCAGCATTAATTAGAAGGTTTCAACTCTGCTCTCAATTTTCTAACTAAACAGAAAATCAGCAATCATTCAACATAAGTAAATAACTTCTAGTGACTCTTATGCAACAAGAAAACAATACATTTCCACCAAATCATCCTAGATCAGGGACTGGAGCAACAGCACAGTGGTTTGCCTTGCACGCGGCTGGCCTGTGTTTGATTCCCAGCATCCCATATGGTTCCCAAGCACCTCCAGGAGTAATTCCTGAGTGCATGAGCCAGGAGTAACCCCTGTGCAACACCAGGTGTGACCCAAAAAGAAAAAAAATCATGCTAGATCATATAATGACCTTAAAAGAAACTTCAAAAACTCTCAAAATGAGAGGAATTTTCTCCAATTGATTAATAACACCTACAATAAACTTGTAGCTAACACTGCATCTAATGGTGAAAGATAATGTTTTTCTCCTAAAAGGAGGAACAATACTAGAATGTCTACCCTTTCACTGCTTTTCAGCATAATTCTAGCATATCTAGCAACTGTAGTTAGGTAAAGGTAAAGGTAAAGGCCCTCCCGTTGATCGTCGATTTGCTCGAGCGGGCCCAGTAACGTCTCCGTTGGAGACTTTGTTGTTACTGTGTCTGGCATATCGAATACTCTCGGTAGCTTGCCGGGCTCTCCGAGAGGGGCGGAGGAATCGAACTCGGGTCGGCCATGTTGGCCGCGTGTAAGGCGAACGCCCTACCCGCTGTGCTATGTGAAAAGAAGGCATACAGATCAGAAGGAAAGAAATGAAAATGCACCCAATTGTAGATGATCCGTGTTAAAAATCACAAGGATGGGCTGGTGATACAGATCAACAGTAGAGCATTTACCTTGCTCTACTGTAAATTTATATAAGAAATTAATTACAAAATAATTAAGAACTATGTTACAAAGCCTTTATTTTGTTGTTGCTGTTTTGTCGTTGTTTTGGAGTCACTACATGGTTTGCTCAGGGGCTGAATCAGTGCTCAGGGGACCATGAATTAATGGGGATTCAGCCCAGCCCACTGAGATACCTAGCCCCACATCTTGCTTTCTTTATCTGTAAAATAAATAAAATACTGTGATCACAATACTTCTCTCTCAGGAATGTTATGAGAAATAAATGAGATTTACATTACATGTAAAGTATTTAACATATAACAGTCTTCTGACATATTATTCCTGTTATATCCGATAACAAAAATTATAACAACAATAATGAACTATGTTTTACTGAAACGTCCATTGTGATCAACTACAGAAATTCTCAGAGATTCTCTAAAGCCTGTTTTTTTCCTCAACTTGTGTGTTGTAGTTCCATCAGTGATCCTTAAAGAATGGTCTGCCTATAAAGGAAAGTCACCTCAAACTCCTGAGCTGGTATCTGCACTGACATTTCGGGAATGGACTTGCCCAAACCTCAAGAAGCTTTGGCTAGGCAAAGCAGTTGAGGACAAGAACAGAAGGATGCGGGCCTTTCTGGCCTGTATGAAGTCAGACACTCCCAGTATGCTCAATCCAGCTAATGTCCCCACCCATCTGCTGCTCATGTGCTGTGTACTCCGGTAAGCCATGTGACATTCAGGGAAGTAACCAGGTATTTCTTACTTCTTTGATGTTTCCTTTAAAGCAAGTCTTCTTATGGTATTAAGGAATAGGTAAGTTTTTATTTAATTTAGATTTCACAAATACTGAAACTGCTGGTAGTCTCTTCAATTTACATTTCTCTATTTATAATTCTGTCATCAGTCCATGCATGATCCCTATTTTATTTTGTTTGTTTGTTTTTTGGCCACACTCAGCAGTGCTCAGGGATTTCTCTTGGCTCTGCACTCAGGAATCACTCCTGGCAGGCTCCGGGGACCTTATGAGATGCCAGGGATCAAACCTGGGTTGGCCACATCCGAAGGCAAGTGCCCTACTCACTATACTATCTCTTTGACCCTACTCCTATTTTATATTTGGTTTTATATATTATTTTGCCTTCTTCAATCTTTAGTCCTGATCCAGTTCTCTTTTCTACCATTGGTTATCTGTTCTTGGGCATTTATTTGATGTGTATGCAAGCCACCTTCCATATATTTATACATACATACCTATGTAGACTTTAATGTTGCTTTGCAGATCATTTTTCTTTTTCACTCTTCTTTTATTTACATATGGTCCATTCCTTTTATTTATTTTTATTTAAAAATTTTCTTTTAATTGAAATACCATGAGATGCAGTTACAAAGCTTTCATGTTTGAGTTTCAGTCTTACAATGATCGAACACTCATCTCTCCAACAGTGACATTTTCTACCACCAATGTCCCAGTATCCCCACTTTCCCAACCCTCCCCCTGCCTCTATGGCAGACAATTGCCCCCATACTCTCTCCCTACTTTTGAGCATTATGGTTTGCGATATAGATACTGAGAGGCTGTCACATTTGATCCTTTACTTTCAGCACACATCTCCCATCCCAAAGGATCCCTTCAACCATCATTGACTTGATGATCCCTTCTCTATTCCAACTGCCATTTCCCCCAGCTCATGAGACAAGCTTCCAACTATGGAGCAATATTCCTGGCCCTTGTGTCTATAGTCCTTGGTTCATTCCTCCTAATTTCTGGATTAATTGCTCCATCAAATACTAATATTACAGTATTTTATTTATTGAATTATAGATGTTTGCTTCTAGTTCTTAGATATTATTTTATAGTCAAATTTTCATTATGGCTTCTTAATTTTTGATAATTCTCAAAATTTCAAGTACTATCTTTTTTTAAATTTTCATTTCCTTGACAACAAATGAAGCTAGCCTATTTATAATCATTTATAGTCATTTATTTTCTCATTTTCTGAGAAAGTGTATTTTGCAGTTTTTATTTTATGTTACTCATATTTTTCCTGTTTATTATATAAATTTTCACATATGTGTGTAGCTAATACATTTTCCAGGGGTCAGAAAAATAGTACAGGAATTAAGGTGCTGCCATTCATGTGGCAACCCCACTTTCCTGCTGTTAGTGGTGGTTATTTATTTATGTATTTGCTTTCCTAACCATTGTATTGGTTGTTATATACTTTTTTTTAATTGATTCACAGTGAGATGCAGTTACAATGTTGTTGATGATTTGGTTTCAGTTATGTATTGTTCCAACACCCATCCCTTCACCAGTGTACATTGCCTACCACCAGTATCCCCAGTTTCCCTTCCACCCCCATCCTCTGCCTGATTCTATGGCAGACACTTTTCTTCTCTGTCTCTCTGTCCCTCTCTTCTGTTTCTCTCTCTCTTGTAACCCCCCTTTGATTTCCCAGCACCTCATATGTTCCCTCAAGTACCACCAGGATTGATCTCTGAGCACCAGAAGCTATGGTCCAAAACACACACGCATGCATATATGCATATAATACATATACAAAATTTATTAAAATATATAGACAAAAATTTTTCAATAACATTCTATTATTGTAACTTTGTATGTTTAAAAAGTTGAAAAGAAATTAGGGTACATACACATTTTTCCTTGTGTAATCACGAAGCGACTAGGAAATACCGTGGCTCTTTCCCCTCACATTCCCCACCCAGGATGGCCAATGCCATGGGCGGACAAAGGAGGAAACAAGGTCCAGACTGGTTGGTGATCAGTTGCCGTCTATTCCATTCTCCCCACGTGCCTGTTCCAATCTCACTAAGCTCTCCATTACAGTCTCCTCCTGTACCCCTTGTAGTCTCTCCGCGCTCCAGACTTACCCCTTGGTCTCTCTCTAGTCTCTCCAACTCCCAGCATTGGGGATAGCAACCACAAATCCAGGTCTGGTAGCACAATCAACATATAAAAGCCCTCCCTGATGTCTTCCAACATATAAAAGCCCTCCCTGATGTCTTCCAGCCAGAGGATCGGACTCAAGGGCAAAATGCCACTTAAGGGCTTTTCTCCTTTCTTTAGTCCAATAACTTAATTAACATCTTAATTAACATCTGAATTCTACTTGTTAATATTAGTTATTTTGTATGGACACAGTAAGAGATACATTAAGCTTGTAGGATTGCTATCCTGGGGACATCTTGCTATAGATCTCAGACTACAGTGCTCAGGCCAGATTAATCTTTCCTAACCCTAGTAGGTCCTAATCTAGTTGTTACTTTTTGGATCATGACAGAATTTTTCCACCACCATGCTCTTAACTTATAGTTAAGTATTATGACGCTTTGGCCTGGCCCATTTTGATGCCAGGGTAGCTCACAGCTTGCCCTGGGTCCGTCAGTCCCTCATCGGGACCCTGCTTTTGAGGCGGTAGGAAATAAGGGCAACTGAGGCTTAAGTGGAGAGAACAGATGCCCAGGAGTGAATATCATTTGGAGCCAATTAACTCCCAAATTACAAAAGCATAGCCTTACCTGTCTTCCTGTGTCTATAGAAAAAGGACATTGCTCTGAATTAACTATGCAAAGGACTTAGAGAGAAGAGAAAAGCAGTATTTACAAGTTAACAGAGTCTGATTAGGAGATAAAGGTGATTGACCAGTTGGGGAAGCAGAGCACAAAGAAAGAGATTACAAATATAGCAGAGGAATGGGAGCACTGTGATGGGTGTAACCCAATAAAACTAAGCTCCCTGTGGCAAAGCAGAAAGGGAAAACCAAAGTTATCCTACACTTCCATATATAATTTACAACTGATACCATTTTCATAACATTTTAGGTTTTTGCTTCTCTGTGAATTAAACTTATAGATCTATTTGGGAAGCATTGGGGGCATACTTAATGCTGCTCAGAGTATACACCCAAATCTATGCTTGGGGTTCCATGCCAGTGGTGCTCAGGAGAACATATAGTCCTAGGGATCACTTGGTTGCACTTGAGCTGTGAGAATTAATATCTTTATATTTTCGAATCTTGCCTTAATATCATAATTCACTTTTACCTTTATCCAGATCTTTTTTAAAAAAATTTTTTATTATGTATTCACTGTGATTTACAGTGTTCTTTATAACAGTACCTTCTTCTCCCTACCTTACCTCCTTAGCAAACTCATTTTTTAGTTTAATATACTTATATAGTTTGGGTAACATGCTAACAGTTGTGTTGACGCTTGTGATTTTGATGTACATAGTTACCTCACCTCTATATCACTGAAGAATTTTAGACTTTTGACCAGTGCCCTTACATTATTGCCAATTCACTCCCTCATTTCCCCTCACCACTACTCTCTTCCTTCCAGGGCATTACCATTTCTAAAATCCAGGATCAAGGGTTTTCCATCCTTTGATAACTTCAGTTTCCTTTATCTTCTTATTTCATATACCATAGATATGTGAGAACATCTGTTATTTGTCCTCCCTCTGATTTACTGAAACATGATATCCTCCAGTTCTATCTGGGTGACACTGAACTGCATAAATTCTTTTTTTTTTCTTATGGCTACTTAGTATTCCATTGTGTTTATATGCATTAACCATTATACCATTTCTTTGTTCATTGCTCATAGAGTGGAGGCAAATTTTGTTCAGAGGAAGGCAATCTATACAAATTACTAGAGAGGAATATACTATGGAACTTCAAAATAGAACAGAATTTAATTTCAGTTTTGGCTATGTTCCTTTTCAACTTGGATAGGTCACTTTAACCTTTCTGAGCATTCATTTTCTTATGATAATTGGATGTGATAATTCTCAGAGATGGAGAATTGAGATAATGCTTGGAAAGCTATATCACATAATAAATTCTTAATATATGTTCATTTTCTAACTTCCATGACATTCATATTAGTGATTTTAAAAGCATTTTCAGTAAGAAGTATAAGGTTTCCTTTTTCCTGGCTCCTAAGCATTTTCTTACATTATCCCTGCATATTATCTCAGCAGTAACATATTTTGTTTATCTTCTTTCCCGAAAGTAGCTCTTTTGCCCATTTATTTGCATCCACTTTTTACTGAAACATCTCCAGAAACATAAAAATAAGTTTAAAAAAATGCTTAAGAACAACTATAGTAACTCTCACACAGAGTACTCTGTAATTGATGAATAGAAATTATATTTTTACTCCATAGCCCCCTTATCAACTTATTCATTCTTGATTTAGATACATTTTTGACAATTTGGTCATCTAATTTCCCTTCATTCAACAGATCAGAAACAACACATTTTAAGTGAGGTGAGGCAGGTAGTAGACTATTATTCAAACCAGTGCTTATGACAATAATACTAAGCCTGTTGCCTAAAAGCAGGCAAAAGATATGAAAATTTTTTCAATTTCTTAATAACTGTGAGACACAGTTACAAAATTGTTCTTGATTGCTTTTCAGCCATGCGGTGCTCCAACACCAATCCTTCACCAGTGCATGGTTTCTACCACCAATGTCCCCAGTTTCCCTCCCACCCCCAAAGACTTTCCTCTCCCCACACCTTTTCTATAGTTGTAGTTCTGTTACTGAAAGGTTATCATGTATATCATTTTACTTCCTTTCAGCATTCAGTTCTTGTCCAGCGTGATCATCTCCAATTATCATTGTCATAGTGGTCTCTTCTCTATCCTAATTGTACTCCTACAACAAGCTTCCTACCATAGACTGGTCC